CACGCCAGCCTCCTCAAACATGCCCGTCCACGTGCGCACCCCCAGGATCCCCCCAAGCCCCCTGAAGGTCCCCCCCCCAAATCCCTAACCCCTTTTTTTTGTTGTTTAGATGGTCCCCACGGAGCTGGTGGAGAAGGAATTCTGGCGGCTGGTGAACAGCATCGAGGAGGACGTGACGGTGGAGTACGGCGCCGACATCCACTCCAAGGAGTTTGGCAGCGGGTTCCCTATCAGTGATGGCAAAAGGAAGCTCTCCCCGGAGGAGGAGGTGGGGGACAACCCTGTCCCCACCACCCTGGGGGTGTCCTTGTCCTCCCACAAGCCCCGAGGGAGTGACCCCTGTCCCTCCCCCTCTCCAGGAGTACGCGGGCAGCGGGTGGAACCTGAACGTGATGCCGGTGCTGAAGCAGTCGGTGCTGTGCCACATCAACGCCGACATCTCGGGGATGAAGGTGCCCTGGCTCTACGTGGGGATGGTCTTCTCTGCCTTCTGCTGGCACATCGAGGACCACTGGAGCTACTCCATCAACTACCTCCACTGGTGGGATGAGCCTGGGGGAGGAGCAGGGGTTTTTGGGGGGGGTCCTTGAGCTCAGAACCCACCCCAGGGACAGGCACAAGATGAGTTACAGGGTGACAGGACATTTTTTGGGGTGTCCAGGATGGGTTATGGGATAACAGGAAGTTTTTGAGGTGCTGTGCCCTCCTAGAGTCAAGCCCAAGATGAGTTACAGGGTGACAGGAGGTTTTTTGGGGGGTCCCTGACCTTGGAACCCACCCAGGGTCAAGCCCAAGTTGTGTTACGGGGCAATGGGAGGTTCTTTGGTTTCTTGCTGACCTCGTTCCCCACCTGGGGCAAGGTGAAGATGGGGAGTGTAGGGTGAGAGGAGGCTTTTTGGGGTGCCCCCAAGGTGTTCTCTGGGGTGGGAGGAGGTTTTTGGGGTACCCCTGACCCCATGTCCCCCTCCCCAGGGGGGAGCCCAAGACCTGGTACGGGGTCCCGTCCTTCGCGGCCGAGCACCTGGAGGAGGTGATGAAGAAGTTGACGCCGGAGCTGTTTGAGAGCCAGCCCGACCTGCTGCACCAGCTCGTCACCCTCATGAACCCCAACACCCTCATGGCCCACGGCGTCCCCGTGAGTGTCCCCTCCCCCCTCTATGGCCCTCCCAAAAAAAAAAACCAACCCCTTTTTTCCCCTTTTTCACCCCGTTTTGCCCCCCAGGTGGTGCGCACCAACCAGTGCGCCGGGGAGTTTGTCATCACCTTCCCCCGCGCCTACCACAGCGGCTTCAACCAGGGCTACAACTTTGCTGAGGCTGTCAACTTCTGCACTGCTGACTGGGTGAGCCCCGACCCCCCCAGACACCCCGGGGGGAAACTCCCAAAAAACCTGGGGGAGCCCCCAAATCCAGGGGAGAAGGTTCAAATCTAGGGCGAGCTTCCAAACCTGGGGAAAATGGCTAAATTCAGGGCAACTCCTCAATCCAGGGGGAGAGTCACCAAATCCAGGTCAAACCCCCAAACCCAAGAGGAACCCCCAAATCTGGGGAGACACCCCCAAATCTGGGGAGACACCCCCAAACCCCCTGACCCCCATTTTTACCCCCTGACCTTGGAACCCACCCAGGGTCAAGCCCAAGTTGTGTTACGGGGCAATGGGAGGTTCTTTGGTTTCTTGCTGACCTCGTTCCCCACCTGGGGCAAGGTGAAGATGGGGAGTGTAGGGTGAGAGGAGGCTTTTTGGGGTGCCCCCAAGGTGTTCTCTGGGGTGGGAGGAGGTTTTTGGGGTACCCCTGACCCCATGTCCCCCTCCCCAGGGGGGAGCCCAAGACCTGGTACGGGGTCCCGTCCTTCGCGGCCGAGCACCTGGAGGAGGTGATGAAGAAGTTGACGCCGGAGCTGTTTGAGAGCCAGCCCGACCTGCTGCACCAGCTCGTCACCCTCATGAACCCCAACACCCTCATGGCCCACGGCGTCCCCGTGAGTGTCCCCTCCCCCCTCTATGGCCCTCCCAAAAAAAAAAACCAACCCCTTTTTTCCCCTTTTTCACCCCGTTTTGCCCCCCAGGTGGTGCGCACCAACCAGTGCGCCGGGGAGTTTGTCATCACCTTCCCCCGCGCCTACCACAGCGGCTTCAACCAGGGCTACAACTTTGCTGAGGCTGTCAACTTCTGCACTGCTGACTGGGTGAGCCCCGACCCCCCCAGACACCCCGGGGGGAAACTCCCAAAAAACCTGGGGGAGCCCCCAAATCCAGGGGAGAAGGTTCAAATCTAGGGCAAGCTTCCAAACCTGGGGAAAATGGCTAAATTCAGGGCAATGCCCTAAATCTAGGGTGAGCTCCTCAATCCAGGGGGAGAGTCACCAAATCCAGGTCAAACCCTCAAACCCAAGAGGAACCCCCAAATCTGGGGAGACACCCCCAAACCCAGTATCACCCCCTGACCCCCATTTTTCCCCCCAGCTGCCTGCGGGCAGGCAGCGCATTGAGCGCTCCCCACCTCAGCTCTGTTGGGGATGGTATCCTGGGGTGCAGGGGGGTATTCTGGGATCCATGGGGGTATCTTGGGGTGCAGGGGGTTCCCCCCAAACCTGATAGCCCCCCCA